CCTTTTCTTAACTAGAGATGATGACACTGATGAATATTAACATGTCCATGTTTATACTTTTTTCAGTTTACCTGAATTCAAAAGAGTGCGCAGATAACTAATGAGAGGATAATGTCCCTGTCCACAGAACTGTCCAGCAAAGTCATCGAGATCCAGAGACCAGACAAATGCTCCTCCAAATCTGTTGTCTTTCACATACTGTGCCTGTGAAATATAAACTGTGAGTTGCAATTTAAAACTACCACATTTCCACCAGTGCACAATCCAAAAGTAACCAAATGTAACCAAACTTTACCTGATGTCTGTACTACTTTAAGAACAGTAAGATATAGCTGCCAGTTAATAAGAACATCATGATTTGTTTTGTATTATCACCTTAAACATAAATTGGCATTGGTACCTTGATTTCAAAGCTCTGCCTGTTATCAAAGCCAACCCACTCATTGCCCTTAATGGCATAGGGCACCTTTTGCTCATCAATCCACTTTATGCTGCCTGTTTGGATGAATGTGCAAATCTGTAGAGAAGAAAATAATACTTCAACACCCTTCACACAGTTTGCGATTTATGGAAAACATTGTGGTGTAATAAAACTGAACATAAGCTGCTTTATATTAGCTGACCTCGTAGTAAGACCAAAACCCAGCTTCACGGGTGTAAGGCCCAGCGCTCGCTGGTCCTGTGGCTGCAGCTCCAAGACCATTAGCAGCTGTTGATGTGGTGAATGTGCGTCCATATGTGGGGAAACCGACTAAGAGCTTTTCCACAGGAGCTCCCTGGTCCCTCCAATATTTAATAGAAAAATCCTTTGAGAGAAAAAAATAGTATATTATATAATATTATTATAATGATATTTTATAGCGATATATATATGAATGTTGATGAAAGTTTCACTCACCACATTGTAATATATGTTATCACCCTGATCGACGGAGCTGCGGTACAGAGGGCTGTTATGACCAGTGAATGGGTCCCAAGCTCCGTGGTAGTCATAGGTCATGACATTTATAAAGTCTAGAAACCTGTAAAACATCACCATTAAATACAATGTAACAAAATAATATCAATAATAATAATAAGTAAAATAAGTTAAGAACTTGAACATATTTAAAGTAAAAATCCTTAAAAATGCCCATGTATTCAAACTGTAACTTTAATACTTTTTATCAGCATGTATCATTCAAGAAAAATCATTCAGGGTATTCACATTATGTAACTATCTCTCTACATCATTTTTTCATGTTATTACTGTGGTTTGCTGTCTAAGCCTTTCACATTAAGCAATGTGTGTATAGTAAATAAAACCACAGGTAGCTCTTCTGATCAAATATTTGCTGTCCCTGTAAATCTGGGACCGTCAGTGTTTTAGTATGAATTAACACTTGCATTTATTTAAGTAATCTCCAGTGCTGCAAAATGAAAAGTGGGATGAAATCTTTAGGATTGGAGCTTTAGTGACTTCCTATCAAATAAACTCACTTTGACACATCGGCAATCTCATAGCCGTTGTCAATGTTCCCCTTCCCACCGGCCACTGCAGCTGTGAGCAAGAGCCGTGGTTGTTTGGTCTCAGTAGCTTCTTTTTCAAAGGCAGCAAGTAATTCCTAGA